GCATCAACCAATCAGAGAGACTCCACTGTGTGACGTAGCGACATATTTCTAGACGGTACTGATTATCTGATGAACGTGACATGCTCTTGCTCTCTGTAAATAAAGCAAAGCCACTTCCTCGTCCGACATTAAACAGAGCCCGACAGAGGAGGGAGGGGCGGGGAGGCTGTTGCCGTGCAGCGCTTCAAGAGCTGACCTGCGTCTGACCTCAAAGTGCACAAGTGTCCAACTTCAGCGTTGGCTGCGATTTTGAAGCTGAAATCACGTTCGGTGTGAACGCAGCATTAGAGTTCTCCGTCACCACAACAGATTTCTGTCTTGTGTAAGGGAGGGGAGATGACCCTGGTTGTTTTTCTGATGTGGTCTTAATAAAGCTGCCCAGTCTGCTCCTAAACGCACCACTACTTTCAACAAATAAAACAAAGTCCAGCACACGTTTATCCAATCAGAGCGGAGCAGGGTGGGTCTTAAAGCAGCAGGTGAAGCAGCTGCAGGAGCAGAGCAGTGGTCAGTCCTGAGTGAAACCTCTCCATCATTTCTCTCCTCGGACTTTTGTCTATAAACTTTAACGTTATTAAATATTTGTGTTCAGAGCGCCGTTATCCAACAGATATGTCCAACTTTGCATGTGTGACTAAACTACTCGTGCAAAGGCTGCGCAACGTTCAGTTTGTTYGTCCATCATGCTTTGCTCTCCTATTTTACAACATTTCACAAGTTATAGTGTTCTGCCACATGTCCTGTTTTACTACAATAACATAAGAACCAAGTATAAACCCCTCCATCACTGGGGAGGATGCGCGCTGTGCGCAGGTACCGAAGGACGAACCGAGCCGAGACCGCCACAGGAGTGCGCCGCAGAGCACGTGGTGCGAGTCAGAGTCACWGTTTTGTTTGTCCCATATTAAAGCAAAGATGAATCTCCGTTTGTTTACCTCCTCATCCTCACCTGGAGAACAGCACCATGTTCTCCTGTGAGCGTGTTTCAAATGTTTCTGTAGTTTATCAGTTTCATTCAGAAGCACAGTGACAGGGCTGCTCTGTGATAAATCTAATTCACTGATCAAATATGTAGAATAAACAGTATTAAATGATTACATGAGCTTGAACAATTTAAATAACTGTTTAAAAATAGTAATTTTATGGTGAATTATGAAAAATATTTCAGTCAAAAGAGTTTTTTAGCTTTAACTCATGCAAATTAGCAAAAAAACCGTTAGCATCAGATGCTAATGTTGGTTTATAACAGTTAGCATCAGATGCTAATGTTGATGCACCACTGTTAGCATCAGATGCTAATGTTGGTGCACCACTGTTAGCATCTGATGCTAATGTTGGTGTATAACTGTTAGCATCCGATCCTAACGTTGGTGCATAACTGTTAGCATCAGATGCTAATGTTGGTGGACCACTGTTAGCATCAGGTGCTAACGTTGGTGCACCACTGTTAGCATCAGGTGCTAATGTTGGTGCACCACTGTTAGCATCAGGTGCTAATGTTGGTGCACCACTGTTAGCATCAGGTGC